GGACCTAAAGAGGTTGTGCAGAAGGTGTATTGCTTAGAAATATTTGTTCTTTTGTAGATTTAAAGATGAAGTACAGCATTTTAAAGTCCTTCGTGACGGTGCTGGAAAATACTTCCTTTGGGTGGTGAAGTTCAACTCGCTTAATGAATTGGTGGAATATCATAGATCATCGTCAGTCAGTAGAACACAAACTATTTACTTGTAGATATGGTCAAGCAGGTAAATCAATATTTTCACAACTTTTAACAGTTTTAGTTTGGATGTTTTTAAAGTTAATTTGTTTTGAATCTGATTGAAATCTAATGTAGATATAGAGGCTCTGCTTGCTCATTCCATGTTCACCAGTTCATGGTCACATGGTGTACACTCCTCAGAATTTGGCCAACTCAACTGTCTCTCATGTCTTATCAACCAGTTAGATCATGTCTTACTTAAATCAGGTGATGTTGTTCTATAAACAGTTTGTAAGACTGAAGATGCATGTAGTAGATCTATGTAGTTAGAGGTTTGCATCAGTTTTCCTAAATCGGGCCATGTCTTTAAAGCAACACTTTCATAAAGTCATCAGAACTGCGGAAAGAGGGCTTGCACTTCAACAATTCTTTTACATATTGATAGCTGCCAGTGTTTAGATATCTGCTGAAAGTCGGTTGCAGGTTTACAGACTAGTTAGTACCTTGTACAAATGTCAGAATTATGTGACATACTTAAAGTTATTCTTGTACCAATCAATGAAATACATTCTTGAGCAATGTTTATGTTTTGATCTGTGTATAGCGTAATGTGTGCCCGATGTAGGTAAATGCCAACCAGAGAACAGGACAACAAGAAATAGCTGCAGGATATGTACATGTGCAGTTCTGATGACAGATTTTAATGAGATTGTGTTTTTTCCAATTTTTTTTTTCAATCCAAGTTTTCAGTATAAGAAAATAAAAATACTTGGTCAATAAAATAATTGCATCAGAACTTTCCTGCATCCAAGCTAAAATTCGTTTGAGCATCTTTGTTCACTGCAGCATGTAATAAAACTTAGAGTGACACCTCATGGGTAATGTTTTCTGTATTGTGCATCTTTTATTAACATAATTCTTAACTCTTTGTTACAGGAACAAAATACGGTGCAAGCAATGTTCGACTTTGACCCCCAGGAAGAAGGAGAGTTGAGATTCCGTCGTGGAGATATTATCACAGTTCTTGATAAGTCAGATCCAAATTGGTGGAAAGGACAGTGTCACGGTGTAACAGGAATGTTCCCTGCTCCGTATGTCGGTCCACTACACCAG